TTTAAATTAAATTATACCCTCACCATTGCATGCTATCTCTACTTGATCCTTTGTAAATTCTTTATTTCTACCTAAGGAAATTAAGCTATGTAGAAAGTTCAAGGCAGAAGCATTAATATTCTGCCTGAAATCATTTTAGTTAAGGAACCCAAATCACATGTTCCTACTTTCTTTGCTATGAAACATTAAAATCTTGAAAGAATTAAGACGGTTCTGGCAGATGTGTAACAAAGCACTTACCTTGTCACCCAGCACTCCACATGTCACACTAGTTTCTTGTGCACAACGTGTGTACAGTGGGCTAGATGTCATGGGCATTGCTTTAAGACGGTTCTGGCAGATGTGTAACGAAGCACTTACCTTGTCACCCAGCACTCCTCATGTCACACTAGTTTCTTGTGCACAACGTGTGTACAGTGGGCTAGATGTCATGGGCATTGCTTCACAAAATTGTTTTAAATGCCTGAGGTATTCTTGGTTTTTCCCATTTTTATGCCATCTTTCACATGCTGTCTCTTGCCCTGCAGTTTACATAGGTCCGTCGTGTCTCAAATTCTGTTTCCTAGCATACTTTGTAAAATGAATTATGAAAATCAATCCTGACCCATAGACCTAATACTAAAGGAAACTGAGCAAGCCAAATTTGGAAGATTTGGTAAGAAAATTCATCTTTAAATATAACTTTGCAATTTTGCTTCCTTTTGAAAATCATTTGGGTCTTTAAAATGATGTATAAGGTATATTACATAATGTTGAATATTAGTGTGAAATTATCTATATATATAAAATTCTGATATGCAAAGTGTCCCCTTGGGAGTTCGACCGACCAGGAATTTGAATGTTCGCTATGACGTGCGCTAACCACCAGAGTGTGGCGTGGAACAAAGGAAGGCCCCGTCTGGCAGCCGACAGCCAGGGAAGGGAGGTCCCAGTCAGCAACTGCTAAGGACCCTACCCATGCACAAATTTTGTGCACTGGGCCTCTCGTACATAAATAATGTAATATTTGGGTACCACTGGATATTCCTATATTAATATTTAATTATAAGATATCCTAGAAATCCCTAAAACCACAATCTTTGTTACACAGATAAGTTTTCAACAAAAGATTATCTAGTCTGTTTTTCTTTTCTTGTCCTCCAAACAAAGAGTAATTAATTATCCAATTACTTCATTACTAATGAACTCATAAAAGACCTTTGGACCTATTCTTTGTGAATTATATGTCTGAGGCAAGACCCTTGCCAGTACTGAGATTAGAGAATATAGTATCAGGTTAACTTTTTAACTACATATCAATGAATTTAATTAACAGAGACCTCATTCTACACAATGGAAATGTTTTATAATGTACGTAAAGAATTGAAAAATTCCTATTCATATTTCAAAACATAATTTGCATCTCTTTGCTTTTTCATAAAACCACCAACTCCCACTCAGAAACACTGACTCAATTAGATCTATGAAATACTGACTGGTATTTTCTTCAAGTTGTTATCTTTATCCGTTTTCCATAACCTGGCCATCCTCTGGTTTAAGACATTTTAAATAAAATTAACACAAGGAGACCAGACATTTTAGTAATTCCTGAAGTTGTCCTGAAAAGTTTTGCAAACAAATTACCTAAAAGTACAGCTGCTTTTATTAATAAAAATAGAAAGTGCTATTTCCAAAGGACCTATCTATAATTACAATAGTTATGCTTCATACTTCATTTATTGTATACAGTGTCCTTGTTAGCATTCAATAGTTTTATTATAGCAACCATCTGTGTTACCCATCATGGATGGAAACAAACTCCAAATGGCAGTTTTATGTCTTTGGGCATCATTCTCTTTTGACACTATACATTATACCAAGTAATCATAGCCTTCACCTCCTCAAGTTTCACAGAATGTTTTCATGAGTTGGAACTTTGGGGGAGGAGGGTTGTATTTCTGACAATGTTTTCTGTAATATTCATTGGCTTTGTGCATTTGTGGCTGAGCTAAAGGTTTGGCCACTACATCCTTTCCCAGCAATATGTGCCTTGTCAAGTTTGAGCAAAATTGCAGGGAAAAGAAATTCATATTCACCCAGCCAGCATAGCTCAGTGGTTGAGTGTTGAGGTCATGGTTCAATTCCCAGTCAGGGCACATGCCTGGGTTGCAGGCTCCATCTGCACTGTTGGCCATGTAGGAGGCAGTCGATTGATGATTCTCTTTTATCATTGATGTTTCTATCTCTCTTTCTCTCTCCCTTCCTCTCTAAAATCAATAAAAATATATTTTTAAGTGAATTCATATTCAATACCACTCATTTCCTTTAAACAGATCCTTGAATTTGGGGTCTCTGCAGCTCTGTGTCTCCCCAGATTGCTCCCCTCATCACTACCATTATTTGCTACCAGGATTCCACCTCTCTTGTTTCCTAACATTTTCTTGCCTGTGTATAATCCCCGGGCCTGTGTATCTAAACTGACAACTCACTATCCTGATAAGCCCACCCCTGAGAGAGATGTTAAAGATGCAAATGAGAAGGACAGAGAGCTTAGATACCTTTCTGCACATGTGTCAGCCATGTATCTTACCAGGGAATATTGCACTTGAGGGTGGGTAGATGAACCAGTAGGGGGCATCTTTGGAGTCAGGAGAGCTTCAGGTCACTCCTGAAATCACCTGTGTGTGCTACCCTATTATTTTGCTGCAAAACAAAGGCCACAGAGGTATTTAAATATCTGAGTGGAATCCTAATCAGCATCCTATTAATTTTTTGGCTAAAAGTATACTTTCAAAACCAGAACATGGGAACTGACTCCCCTGTAAGTCATCTCTAAATGCTCATCAGTTTCTCCCAGTCACTGGTCCTAGGAAGACACATTTTAAGATACACAAAGATGCATTTGTCCTGAAATGCACTCTGGCCATAGTCTTGTTGGGAACACTGATTGCATTTTGTGGCCATATTCAGTATCCCAGTGTTAAAATGTGTCCTCCTGAGGTAATTTTTAAGTCCTTCTTAGAAACTACTTGGCTATTCAGAGTCTGACTTAAGTCAATGAGGTAACATGTGAAGGAAGCAAACTGTGTGAGGCTTATTTACATGCTCTGCAAAATATGGTAGTTCTTGGCATATTTTAGGGCCCAACTTCTTTGATAATATGATGATTGCTATAAACTTGCTCCCTTTGAATATCCAGTGCACATCAAAGTTGGCATTTGATTTCAGCATGTTCATACATTCCTTGGACCTCGCTGAGGCCAGCATGGATCCCAGTTTCAGAGCTAGTGGTAACAAACAAACAGCCTTCTAAATTAAATCATAATATCACTTCACTGGTACACTTGCTGTATAAAAGACTTGTTTCAGACTATAGGAAGTTTTGAATGCTTGCATGAGAACCCCATGCCACCCCAAAAGACACCAATTTAATTTTGTAATGGGATGGCTACATAGCAAATATAGTAAGAAAGAAGTAATAAATAAAAATAAAGGATTTGAACCTAATTCCTGATAAGTAAATTTCTTTAAACATAAGAAGGATCTGAATTCAATTGTTGAGCCTTCCGGGATGAGTTTTTTCACTGGTAAAAGGTGCAAGGAGTTCCATACATATTCTAGTCAGCTAGCATAAACAGTGTATTCTTACATGGCAACAGGCAGGTTGTTGTGGGTTTTTTTCCCTCTTTTCCTTGAAGCACTACTAATTTGGGTTTCCACTGAGAGGCAACACAGTTCTGCGAAGGACATCTATCTAGGTCAAGGGTGTAAGCATTTCCTTTAAAATGCCCATCTAAGTTTGAAATAGTTGATACATTTACTTCCAACCTTTTTCAGATAATTCCGGTCACAAATATAACATGTATGTTTACACTTGTTCTTAAAGGAAATTTATTCTAGATACCTTATAGAAGTATTTTATTTATGTTGTTTCTTTTACAAGTTAAGTGAACATAATTATAGATAAAAGTACACACATTTGACAAAGATTTTAAATTGTAAATGTGCAAAAACATAGATCTACTTGGAGATAAATTGCTGGCATTGGTCAAAGGTGAGTGCTGAGTGATATGAGCCTTCCCTACCATTCAATCCAATTCTGGCCTCTGGATGTCCTCCTCCCCAGGGCAGATTCAGGAAACTCTGAAGGGACCAATAGTTTAAGATTTAATTTCATGGGCTCTCTTTCAGCTGTGACCCTGGATTTTCTGGCCCAGCTTGCGAGATGGCATCCCAGACATTCCCAATGTTCATTTCTGAAAGCTTCGGCAGTTCCAGGCTCTCCTCTTACCATAACTTTTACTCTATCCGTGGTGCTGAAGTCAGCTTTGGCTGTGGTGTCCTGGCCAGTGGTAAGGCCCTGGTTTTCAACAAAGATGGGAGACGTCAGCTAATTACATCTTTCCTTGACAGCTCACAATCCAGGTGAGTGAAGGCAGGGTGGAATACATACTGAAACCAGATAATAATGTTTGAACTTAGATCTATTAACTTTCTATTTTTCATTTACTTATTTTTGCTTATATATACATATTCTCATTTAAAACCAGAGGGAGTTAATATAGGGTTAATTTGCCCTCATTTTAAATAAACTAAAAAGCTCACTGATGACTTTAAGAGACTAATGACTGACTAGAGTTTAAAAAATATGAAATGTTGGCATCAAAACTGTGTTCTCAAGCCAAGGACTAGTTAATTATTTATGTAGTTTTATTTATTTGACAGCTTGCAGAGGCTGATGAGATTTACACTGCCCTTCCCCCAGTGCTCAATAAATAATGCAGTAAAGGAATGATTGGCATTTTAAGTGTACATACACAAGTCATAGGATACAGATATGTATAAATACACAGCTATATTTGTATGTATGTATCTGTATAAAAAACAGGGGCATGGACTTTATCTTCTACACATATTCATACATCTCACAGTGAAATTATATTTTATAAAAGAGGGATGAGTGGAAACCTACAGCTTTGGGGTAGTTCATTTAAATGTGTCTGAAATTCTTTAAAAACCAAGATGAGCATTATGATTTAAAATGTTTGTGCACACACTAATTATAGACAATTCATGTTTAGGTTTCTCCAGTTCACATTGAGGCTGGGAAGCAAGTCTGTTCTGAGCACATGCAAAGCCCCTGACCAGCCCGGAGAAGGAGTTTTATTGCATTATTCTTATGATAATGGGATAACTTGGAAACTCTTGGAGCACTACTCATATCTCAACTATCATGAGCCCAGGTATGTTGCAAATCATTTGGAAAAAATCGTTAGAGAAACAGCTCTTTCCTGAGGAAGTCTTCATTCAAATGGTGTAAGATTCCAGATATTTTTCCACTGCAAGATGGTGAGGACAAAGGTTGATGAATCTTGTAATGAAAAATTAGCAAGCCACATTCTTCTAACCCAATAAATTTGGAGAAATGTATTCTCATATTTTGAAATGTGCATATAAGAGAAATAATTTGATGCCTAGGAAAGAGAAAAATACTTAATACTATTTTTCTCATTTAACTATAGTGCAAACTATTAAATATGATTTTAATATAATACTGAATTATAGATACTATTGATGAATATTTGATAGCCATATAATATAGTATCTAATAATAAATCATATGAAACAATAACTCATAAAATATGATAGTCAATAAATTTTACATTAGAATTAAGACATGAATATAAATAACTTTTTCTAGCATGTATAGAGTCCCTGGTAAAGGTGGAGTGTGAGGATATAACTAAAGTCCCTTCTTCATGCTCCTTCTATTTTTCTTTAGCTTACGTATTTCACAATCCATAGTCACAGTTGTGAGACTTAAGTTTCACTTAAAGCAGAGTAGTAACCACTGTAAGTGGTATAATTTGAGATGTTCAAGTCATCTTCACTCCTTTCAGAATATTTATTCATCTGCTCACTGAAATTCCTTTAAAATATCAAGCAAAGAGGAGAATGGGAAAGTGAAAATACCATTGGAGGAGGTTAACACTGTGGCTTACATTCCCAGTGGGATACAAAGAACTGACTCCTAGAGCTCCATGCAGATCATGGGGAGATGTGAAAAGGACTGAGGCTCTGGGCACTGAGGTTCGTGTGGGCACCATGGTGACTGGCAGGGGCACTGATAATAGATTTAACATACTTGAGCATTTTTTAAAAATGTATTTTTATTGATTTCAGAGAGGAAGGGAGAGGGAGAGAGAGATAGAAACATCAATGATGAGAGAGGATCATTGATCAGCTGCTTCCTGCATGCCCCGCATTGGGGGATCAAGCCCGCAACCTGGGCATGTGTCCTGACCGGGAATCGAACAGTATCTCCAGGTTCATAGGTCGAAACCCAACCACTGAACCATGCTGACCAGGCAAACCTGAGCATTTTTCATAGAGCTGTTTCCAGAATTAAGTATTTGCAAACTGATGAGAACTTTTATTTTCATGGAAAATAAAGTAGCATGTAACAGAGATTATAGCTAATAACTATTAGGAATTATAAACACTATATAAAATTTTAAGAACATACCAGATGTATTGGATATTTTCCTTTAAAGATAAATATAAGGCTAAACTCAACTCTCTCACTCAGTAGACACATATGAATACTAAAGAAATGTTTCATAGGCTCTCCATAGTGAACATTAAAAGAAAATTTAAAATCAAGGTGATAATCATAATAATGAGGAAAACATGAAGAAAATGTCACCACCCTAAGTTAGCGTGGCCTAAAGCACAATTTTTTTTAACGAGGATGGACAGCTCCAAAATTCAGTAATCTATCTGTATCATGAAATCTAATTAATCCTTGTTGATATGGAAAATAATTACACCTTTAATGTGCTGTTGCAAAGGTGCATTTAATCTTGCCTGCCATTTGACAGCAGCATTTTTCTTCTAAGCAGGATCAGGGTGGCTCTTCAGCATTAGGTATGTGCATAGCGTGAAAGATGAAGATCAGAGTGGAGATTTTCTTTCAAGAAGAGGGGAGAACACGTGCATTTTCTATATATGTACCTCTGTCTGAGACTCTTCTTCCCTCCCCCTCTCTC